TGTCCCACTATTGTCCCACTACTGTCCCACTATTGTCCCACTATTGTCCCACTATTGTCCCACTACTGTCCCACTACTGTCCCACTATTGTCCTACTACTGTCCCACTACTGTTCCATAGTAACCTGCTCTTATAAAACATCAGTGACTCAGGGAGTTGGAGAGAGGGAGAGAGAGGGAGGGAATGAAGAGAGAGAGGGAGGAAGGGAGAGAGAGAAAGAGTAAGGGAGAGAGGGAATGAAGTGCGAGAGGGAGGAAGAGAAAGAACAAAATGATATAAAAGCACCAGAGACCAATTAGAAACAAGAACAGAGCAGCAGGAAAGAAAGAATAAAAAGTTTATGTGATGAATAATGAAGAAGAGATGACGAAGGAACGAGTGGTGACGAGTTGCAGAACTTCAAACAGCTGCCATGAATAAATGTAATGCAATCACCATGTTCGATTGGCTGCTGCTGGTTCCCACAATTGCAGCCTGAAGCCCCTCCCACCACTCACTGAAAGGTCAGGAAACCATTCAAACACAGATGAAGAAACAGGAAATCACCCAAGTGACCTCTGACCCCGATCCAGAAAAACCGACCACTTCAGCAGCGTCCACACTGAAACTACAGATTTACAACTTTCTACAATCTAAGTATTAAAGATTAAAAGGTGTAATAATCTAATTAAATGATCTATTTTTTAGTTTATTCATAAATCACAACCACACAAAATAATTTAACTAATGAACCAGGTTCTTACATGATAGACCAGCTCATCTCTTAGCATCAACACATTTGTGGTGAAGTTCAACAATTCGTCTCTGCTAGCTTGTTTATTTTCTTTCCTCTCGTTGTGGCATCATATATTACACTCTGGTGCCCCCTTCTGTACACACTGATCAAATTCACCCAGAGCAACGATTCTGGAACTGAAACCGTGATAGAAACCTTCACTACCTCATGTCACGATACAAGAAGACAACTGCGGATCAGGGAGAAAAACCCTGCAGACTTTTAGACTCACCGGCCATGCGAAGCTGAACGACAACATGATCCTGGACTTGTCGCTTTTGGTGTTGCGCAACGAAAAGCTATTCCCACCGAGCACGGGCGTGGAGGCGATGCCGAAGCTGCAGGGCCCCGAGGACACCTTCAGCTGGAACTCCTTCAGACAGACCCGGAAGAAGGTGTCGCATTCGTCCACCGTGCAACGCTCCTCTTTCACGTCCTGGGCTCCATCGCAGCAGGCGCCGCTCTGCAGGCGTCCGTTCAGGTTCTGCATCGACAAAATCCGAAGCTCAAAGTGTCCAGAAGCTGAAGAGACCTGCAAGAGGGTCAAAAGATGAGTTACTGGCAAGGGCCACAACATCAAACCCATTCAATAAAAGAGTATTTAAATCTGAGTAGTACACACAATAACACACAGTAATAAACATTAATACACAGTGATAAAACTACTCAGGATGTTGTGTATACTATAATATACTGTCAGTAATGTTAATGAGCAGTTTCGCTACTCACTGATGTCAGTGTGATCACAGCCTGGAAGCTAAATTAAACTAAGAGACGAGAAGAGAAACTAAACTAAGATAAGCTTAGCCTGACAACTTCTTTGTGGACTGAAGATCCTGAGGCCAAAAATA